TAGTCTATGACCACCACAACTGCGATACTGTATAGAATAAATGACTCTTTACCAATGTTAACTTCTGTCTGTATCTGTGTTAACCAGGTCTGTGTGTAGATTAGTGTGTGGGGAATACAAGAGTGAAGCTAGTAGAATAAACAGTAAGGGGCTGGTGTCTACCCTGTTGTGTGGTCCCTGGACCCTGAAAGGTGAAGATAATTAACTTTCTTTCCTAGAACACAAGCAAAACACCGCGGTGCCAATCATTAGGGAGGAGTCACACCAGGGCGAGAGAGGAGAGAGAGGTCCAAGGTTTAATTTAGGTTGCGATGCCTCCCAAGTCCGTGCCCCACTTCTCAGCTTGGTTCAATGGTTTTAAAGGTGACATGCAGCTCTTGGCCTTGAGCAAAAACAATTGCTGGAGAGAGTATGGTCCGATAGTCCCACTTCATTTCTGAAAGCCAGGGAAGGACCCTCCTCTGCTTTATTTCAAGATACAGAGAACTAAGGCTGGGATTCAATTCGATCTGCGTTAGATCCAACTTGTAGCGCGATTGACATTTAAAGGTAATTTTCGATTGAGCCAACATAATTTTCAAATAGTCCTCCTGTGAAGTAGGACCTAGCATCAAACACCCACCTTCCTGAATCTCGTCACATATGCAGCATTTCATGTGAATGCAGTCTCCGCGAATGCAGAATCATTGCCTTTAAAAGGTGCAAAGCTGAAAAGGGGTAATCTGATTGAATCCCTATGTTTATGCATTACTATATAGCTAGTTACATAAGTAATTACATGTATTTTGTTACATATATATCAAGGTATGGTCAATCACTGAAGAAAAACTAAGAGATTGCAGAACCTGTTTTGTTATTACTTTATTATTTATTTATTATTATTATTATCATCATTATTATTCAAGTTTAGATGTAACAGACATCTTTGCCATCTTTGTTGAATTTTTTGCATGTAAAACCTACAACACAAAAACGTAAAGGTGGTAGCAGAAAAAACTAAATAAAGAAACAAATCATCTAAACCCATCTTCTACGCAATAAAGTGTAAAAACAAGAAACAACATTCTAAAAATTATGGTTAAAACATTTACAAAAACATTTGCCTTTTTTGCCATGTCTGTGTCCACACTGGCTTACTGGCATCTTCTTGGCACAGATACTCCTGTCTGTCCATGGTGTTTCTTCTTCTTGTCCTCCTTATAGGCATGTTCACTCCTGCTAATTATTTTTGCAGTACCTGTGTATAGCATGCTAATAACACATTTAACATTATCCTCTTTCTTCCTTGGCAATAAAACAGAGTGCAAGCATTAACATATTTCAAATTAAAACTTCGCAAATTGAACACAAAAACTAAAATTGTTCCTTATGTTATTCGATATCATATGATAAATGCACCTGTGAATTATATTATTAATATTACAGTTTTTTGTTTCCGAGAGGCGTTTGCAGTAAAGCAGCATTGTAAGGCTATGTTTAGTTCATCGCTACTTCACGCAAATCCTTGCTTGTGAATCCCAGGCAGACTCTCGTTTAGTTCCCCGCTGCTCATGTATAAATAAGTATGTGTATCTAAGGATGGACAGTTTAGATTGAACTCATGCTAGACGCAGCAGCAGCAATGGGTGGACGTACACAGTACGCACACACGAGAGAGAAAGAGAGAGGGCGAGAAAGAGAGCGAGCGAGAGGACAGAGAGAGAAACAGTTTTTTGGGGGAGTGTTTTAGAGGCTAAATATATCATCTACCAGCAAAATACAAACAAGCTAAATAGAGGGGTAATGTTGCTGTGTGGTAACTGTGTGGAAGTAGTATTTGTTTTGTCGCTCAAATGGTATTAATCCATCTACAGTGCCTTGCAAAAGTATTCATCCCCCTTGGCGTTTTTCCTATTTTGTTGCATTACAACCTGTAATTTAAATGGATTTTTATTTGGATTTCATCTAATGGACATACACAAAATAGTCCAAATTGGTGAAGTGAAATGAAAAAAATAAATAACGGAAAAGTGGTGCGTGCATATGTATTCACCCCCTTTGCTATGAAGCCCCTAAATAAGATCTGGTGCAACCAATTACCTTCAGAAGTCACATAATTAGTTAAATAGTCCACCTGTGTGCAATCTAAGTGTCACATGATCTGTCACATGATCTCAGTATCTCAGTATATATACACCTGTTCTGAAAGGCCCCAGAGTCTGCAACACCACTAAGCAAGGGGCACCACCAAGCAAGCGGCACCATGAAGACCAAGGAGCTCTCCAAACAGGTCAGGGACAAAGTTGTGGAGAAGTACAGATCAGGGTTGGGTTACAAAAAAATATCAGAAACTTTGAACATCCCACGGAGCACCATTAAATCCATAAAAAAAAAAATGGAAAGAATATGGCACAACAACAAACCTGCCAAGAGGGAGGGCATTAATCAGAGAGGCAACAAAGAAACCAAAGATAACCCTGAAGGAGCTGCAAAGCTCCACAGCGGAGATCGGAGTATCTGTCCATAGGACCACTTTAAGCCGTACACTCCACAGAGCTAAACTTTAAGGAAGAGTGGCCAGAAAAAAGACATTGCTTAAAGAAAAAAAATTAGCAAACACGTTTGGTGTTCGCCAAAAGGCATGTGGGGGACTCCCCAAACATATGGAAGAAGGTACTCTGGTCAGATGAGACAAAAATTGAGCTTTTTGGCCATTAAGGAAAACGCTATGTCTGGCGCAAACCCAACACCTCTCATCACCCCGAGAACACCATCCCCACAGTGAAGCATGGTGGTGGCAGCATCATGCTGTTGGGATGTTTTTCATCGGCAGGGACTGGGAAACTGGTCAGAATTGAAGGAATGATGGCTGGCGCTAAATGCAAGGAAATTCTTGAGGGAAACCTGTTTCAGTCTTCCAGAGATTTGAGACTGGGACAGAGGCTCACCTTCCAGCAGGACAATGACCCTAAGCATACTGCTAAAGCAACACTTGAGTGGTTTAAGGGGAAACATTTAAATGTCTTGGAATGGCCTAGTCAATATCCAGACCTCATTCCAATTGAGAATCTGTGGTATGACTTAAAGAATGCTGTACACCAGTGGAACCCATCCAACTTGAAGGAGCTGGAGCAGTTTTGCCTTGAAGAATGGGCAAAAATCCCAGTGGCTAGATGTGCCAAGCTTATAGAGACATACCCCATGAGATTTGCAGCTGTAATTGCTGCAAAAGGTGGCTCTACAAAGTATTGACTTTGGGGGGGGGAATAGTTATGCACGCTCAAGTTTTCTGTTTTTTGTGTGTTATTTCTTGTTTGTTACACAATAAACCCCCCAAAAAATCAATTTTAATTTCAGGTTGTAAGGCAACAAAATAGGAAAAATTCCAAGGGGGGTGAATACTTTCGCAAGTCACTGTACATCCTGTCAATTACTTGGATGAGTTGTTATACTACAGCTCATTTGATGGAAAAAGCATTCAACATTGTTGATATTCAATGACTTATTTCCGTCAAAAGGCACCTGTTTTACCTGTCCATGGAACAAGTAGGAATTCATGCTATGTTCAAATTAAGTCCTTAAAGATAAGACTTAATAAAAACCAAATATTAGAGTATTATATAAATTTCAATTTAATAGAGATACAAAAAATGGGCCTTGTGTACGATATAGTCAGTTTATATACCTGGACAGGAACCCCCATGATGCCCAAAGCTATAATACTCACAGAACATGATTTATGACCAAGCTACATCAACTTCTCTTTAAAACAAAACATACAGGATGGACAAAGTCCAATACAGAGCATTTTGTAGACTATAAAGCATTACAATGTGTACGAGGAGGAACACACAAAGAAAGAAAGACATGGAATGGATAGTGCCTCTCTGTGGCATTCAAACAAACAGAAAAAATACTTTGACTCCATTTCATCTCCCATTCAACCTTCTGACAAAAGGCCTCTGTTTTTTTTTTTTTATGTGATCTATCGTCCTGTCCTCATGAGAGAAAAATACTAAGAATTGCAGGCATTTTGCTTCATTATCTTGTTTGCTACATTTGCAAATGTAAACAGTTTTGCAGAGCCAAGCTCTTGGCCATTTACTCAAATGGAAAGTCAATGTTGCATATCAACATACCAGGTAGAAAATACTTTGTAGAATATATCAGGCACTGATATTATGCATTTCTCATATTAACAACTTAGAAAAAAATATGTATTTTTTTATTTTACTTCCTTCCCAAATGTCTTTAGTGATATAAGGTTTGCATCCTAGCAACTTAAAATGTCTAGAGGAAATTCTGTGATATGTCTCCCCCCCCAAAAAAAAATTACGGTAGCCATAACTAAAATACATTAAAACAAGAGCGGAGACCAATGCGACTGAAACCACTCTGCTGGCTATGTTTCTAAATCAGCCATGTGCGTTCCCTGAGGACGTTTATTTGAGGACAATCCAATCACTAGTCATCACTCTGCCCATCCATCGTGGATGAGATTATGACAGACGACTGACGTTTCCCATTTCCTCACTTTACATATCAATTCACACATCCTCATTCTGTATGGAACATTGAATCAACCAGGTAAGAGAACATTGATGAGTAGCACAACCAACCCACTGAATAATAAACCAATCCCAAAAACATGTAGATGTACCTTGTTGTTTGCTGAACTGCTTTGTCAAATGAACACTTCTGAATATTTATTTTTACAATAGCAAAAAAAAACGAAAAACAAAAAAATAAGCGGCTACTTGTAGTACCATTTTCTTCAAAAGCGTATTCCTTTACAAAAAAAAGAAAAAGGAAATAACAAATCACTTTTTCTGTATTAAGTCCAATATAAATGTTTAGATGATATTAGTTCCCTACACTGGCTGCGGAGGCACAGAAGCTATCATGGCACATTTAGCAAAAAGTCTCATTCAATCATTACAGTACGTTGTTTTTGTCCGTTGAGTTCTTTTTCATACTGCTATGCTTGTGCTAGAATTCCAAGTCTGTGGGTCGCACCAAAATCACACAGAGTCCATTGGAGCATCGGCCTTAGTCTCAGCCTCGTCGGTGGGCCGGTGAAGCCCTCGCTGTATGTGTGTGGTGAAGTCATACTTGTCTGCGCAGGCGTGCAGGCAGATGCTGCACTGGAAGGGCCCTCCGTCGGCGTGGCAGCTCATGTGCAGGGCGTACATCACCTCATCCAGGAAGACGATGCCACAGTGGACGCACTTACTGGTCAGCTCGTCCTGCGTGCTCTGGTCCACCCTCTCTGGCTTAGCTGCAACGGCTGGGGGAGGTGGCTGGGGCCATGGCCCCTCTTCTACTTCCTCCTTCTCCTCTTCTCTCTCCTGCTGCTCTCTCTCCTTCTCTTTCTCCTTCTCTACCGGGATCATGGGCAAGGCCCGTTTGTCGGTGCTGCTAATCCTCTCCTTGGCAGCGGCAGTGGAGCCATTGGCGGTGGGGGCCGGTTTGGAATGTTTGATGGCCAGGTCGAGAGGGATGTCACTCTCGGGGCCGGCGGGAGGCGGGGAAGGAAAGTGTGAGGGCAGGCTGAAGGTGGGGTAAGGCACAAAGCTTTGGCAAGGGTTGGGCAGACCAGGCATGTGGCCTAGGTAGTGTGGGTTGCCCGGCACAGACATCTTATACTTAGTCCAGAAGCGCAGCCAGTCGGCCTCGCTCTGCAGGTCATTGTGGATAAAGGGCAGGCTGAAGAACGGGTACTGGTACTTCTCGATGGGGCTGCCTGGCGGCGAGTAGCTAGCCTGTTTGGAAGGACGCATGTACTTCTCGATGGGGCTACCCCTCTCGGAGGCCGAGCCGCCTTTCCCCTCCGAGCCCATGTGATGGACCCCGGCTGAGACCACCCCGTTCCCCTCCACCCCTCCCTCCGCAGGGTTCTTGTTATGTATGTGCAAAGGAGGCATACGCTTGTGGATCTCTAGGGTCTGGCTGACCAGGAAGGCATGGGTGGAGCGGGGGCTGGGGTGGCCCTTGGCCCCAGAGGAGCCGTAGGCCTCGTACTTGCCCAGGGCGTTCGGGGGCTCCACTCCACGAGGGACGGGCCCTCCGTCTGAGCCTGGCCCATCCTCTCCTGGCCGACGCTCCAGGGGACTGCCATTAAGGCGCTCCTCGCTGTTGACCCGCTGCTGCTTGGAGCCCACGGGTTCGGAGGGCAGAGGGTCGGGGTTGAGGCGCTTCCGCGTGCGCCGGCGGATGATCTGCTCGCCGTTGTTCTGCTTGATGATGTTCAGCGGCCGTGGAGTCTGGTGAGAGACAGATATACATTTGATTTATTTATGTAGCGAGCCATTCATAAAAAATGTTGCTAAAGATCCCTAAATAAGAAAAGCAATCACCTAAGCAATTTGATAATGGAGCATAGAGTAATTACACAACATCTTACAACACTAAAAGAATGACTGCAATATAAAAAGCATGGGGACTCGGCGAGTCAGGCTCTAGTCAGTGTAGCTTAATCCTGATAGTGACAGCTTCTGTTTCCTCCACTGCTCCCCCTCTAACCCCCATCCCCCCCACCCCTCCGTAACCCCCCTGCACCCTCTGCTCCCTAGCCGTCACCCAGTCACAGCTGGGCAGACAGGAGACACGAGCGTCTGGCCTCCATCTAGCGCTGGCACACAGACAGGCCTTGCCCCAGGGCAGCTCACATTGCTTATTAGAGCCCTACAAGGGGATACGACCTACTGTAAATACTGCAGGAGTGTTGGTGTACTGCAGATGGCACGCAACCGTTTAAATGGGAACACATTTACTGCAAGATCCACAAAATAATGGATGTAGCCTACAGTATTCTCTCATTAACTGGCCAATTCATTTTTGTAGCCACCAGGCAAATACAGTAATCATTAAATTCAGTGATTACAATCGCAATATATTTTTTGAGTGTCAAGCTTAAGGTCATCATTTATTCATATTCTATATTTGTGTGTGATATGACATGCCTCAAGCATTGACTTGAAAATACAGAAATATCCAATATAATCCGGGAAATCGAAGCAAGAATTCTGTCAGTCTACCTTTAGGATACGTTTGAAACGGAGGAGAGAAATGAACGTTCTTGTCCTCATTTATCACCCAGGCCTTTCATTCCTTTCCTGTTCCTTTCTTTTTTCCTCGCCTTCAAGTCATTCTGCCACAGGTAGAGTCTGGCATTCACAGCCAACTCCTGTCCGGTGACACTTAACACGGCAATGCCGACGGACACATTTTTATACAAAAGTTTCCCCCGCTTTCCATGGAAATTTCCCAGAAATCAATGGGAGCCCAAACAAATAGGTGCACGGAGAGCGATAGAGAAAAAAAGTCTAACGGATGTGTGGCCATTTTTATTCCATCGATTTGCTCTCTAAACATACTGTATATGGCCAGAGAAGAAATGTCCAGAAGAGAATGTGAATAAAAGGGATCAGATTGGCCCTAGTGCAGACTTACTTATAGGTGTGAAAAGTCCCTGAGGAATCAATTCCACACCGTACCGCTGCCTACCCCCTTATCTTAGTGATGGAGAATCCGTTGACATGTTCCCGGGGAAAGGAAACCAATCAAAAAAAAAGAAGGGGGAAGCATGAAAAAAGAGGAAAGAAAGGTTTGATGGCACAGGTCGATAGGAAGAAGGGAAATGATCATTTTTTCCTTTAAGGCTAGTACACTCTTAGAAAAAAGGTGCTATCTAGAACCTAAAATGGTTATTCGGCTGTCCCCATAGGAGAACCCTTTGAAGAACCCTTTTTGGTTCAAGGTAGAACCCTTTTGGGTTCCATGAAGAATCCTTTCCACAGAAGGCTCTACATGGAAACCATAAGGGTTCTACCAGGAACCAAAAAGGGTTCTCCAACCCTTTTGGAACCCTTTTCTCTAACAGTGTACTGATGTAGGATCTTAATTTGATCACTCTTTTGTTGCTGAGAACAGCAGGAAATGCACAGCAGGAAATGCAAAGTTGTAGTTTATTCTATGTTTAAAAAGGCTTCTAAAGTTTGTAATTTCCACTTTAAAATGTCAGACTTGATTTGCACTAACGAAAAATGTATCAACCCCTACAACAAAAGTCATGAATTATAATCCACATAATAATCCACATTCCCTGTTGCTGCAGGATTAATTTCCTGCTGTAGCAAACTGGCCCAAATTAAGATCCTACATTTTCCCCTCCTTCCCCCTCAACTACAGTATGGTTATTTATTCAGAAACATAGAGGCCCTACACCAGTGGTCACCAACCGGTTCTACATTTCTGTAGAAAAGCCAACGATACCTACCTACAGCGTCATTGTGTTTAGGTACACCAGATGGAACGCTGCATTTGCCTTGCAGCATTGCGTTGCAGAAGCAGTCCCAGTGGGTTCTGTGTGGTGCATATGTTGGACAAATCGAACGTATGCATCAAATTGTTTGCGTAGGCGGCTTGACAGAAATGGTAGCAGAAGGTGAATGTTTAACTTCTGTTGCACACATATCCAGATCATGCTGCGTACCATTTTGCACAATTACGCTGTAGGTATGATCAAAAGGCAGTTTTTTTTGCACTGTTGGCGGTAGGTGCACTTGATTCAGAAGCCCTGCGTACCGGGTAGGCAAAGTGTTCCCATTTTGAACCATTTCATTTGTCTGAAAATACAAACTTATCCGGCGGACCGGTAGATCTGTGGCTAAATCTAGTGCCTACTGCGCTGGCCAATCGGGTAGGTCAAATCACTGTGCCTACAGCTTCCATGACCCCGGAAGTTTGATACTAGCCTACGTGAGATTTCATAACTTTTAAAACCATGACCAGAGAGAGACTGTCAAAGAATACAGCAAAAAGCTGCTGTTTTTATGAGTGAGTTCATATCTAAGTTTTTATTCAGCACTGTCAACACTGTTTTTATTTAACACTATTACAAAACATCAAACGCACTTCTCCCTACTTCCAATCGCGGACCCTCTGCTGCGCTCTCTCTCCCTATACTGAGACTAATGTTGTGTTCAAGGCAACTGGGAAATCAGGAAAAAAACAAGATCCGACTGGGAAAAATCATTTTGAACGATCATCCAACTCGGAATTCCAAGTCGGAAACTCAGGCATCTTTCTAGAGCTCCGGCTTTCCAACCTGAAGATCACTGACGTCATGATTTGACCTTGTTTTTATCCCAAGTTCCCAGTTGTCTTGAAAGCACCATGACCATCAGATGCAGGTACCATCAGTCCAGTAAAATAAAAAAATATTTGCAAATTATTTAAATGTATGCTCAGCTGTGCCTCGCCAGTGCTACACAAACTGATCAAAGCTTGAGGTTTGAAATATGGAACAGTTGTATCAGTCATACACATCTTCCATTGCTCTATTACAACACTTAATTCCCTACGGTAAATGAAAGCTGTGGAAGTTTTCCCCCTCCTCCCTCGGTCTCTCTCTCAGCCAGATGTCAAGGCTGTCTATCTCGAGCAGCAGGAGAGAAGCAGAGGATGATTCAGACCAGAAGAAAGAGTGCCCTCTACTGACTGGAACATTACTGAAAACCTATCTCTCTCAACGTAGGAAGATTCGGTGAGGAAACCTCTACGCTCGTCGTGGAGTATTAGCGCTCCTATATCGCATCGATCGAGAGGCGACGCTCTCTCTCTCTCTCTCTCTCTCTCTCCTCTCTCTCTCTCTCTCGCTCTCTCGCTCTCTCTCGCTCTCTCTCTCTCTCTCTCTCTCTCTCTCTCTCTCTCTCTCTCTCTCTCTCTCTCTCTCTCTCTCTCTCTCTCTCTCTCTCTCTCTCTCTCTCTCTCTCTCAAAAAGTTACAGACACACAAATATCATATCCCTAAGACATGCTAAGCTCTCACCATTACAATAACATGGGAGGTTAGAATTCTTTGGGCTACTTTAATACACATTTAAGTGAATTTGTCCCAATAGTTTTGGTCCCCTAAAATGGTGCTGTAATTTTTTAACGGTTCACCCGATATGATTGAAAATACCCTCAAATTAAAGCTGACAGTCATAGTCATCGTATCATGTCAAATCCAAAGTGCTGGAGTACAGAGTCAAATCAACAAAAAATTTGTCACTGTCCCAATACTTTTGGAGCTGACTGTATTTGCTAATGGCATTTTTCTGCAGACAGATCCAAGCCTAACAAAAGGTAGGGCCATGTTTAGTCAACAGTATAGACAACAGATTAACAGTACAAGGTCACAGACACACACAGAAAGGTCATCTTCATTCTACCACCATCTTTATCTTTTATGTTTCTTTCTGCAATAGTTACCCATAATCACCTCGCTTACAGGATGTGCTGTTTCCATCCATCTAAGCAACTGTTCAACTCCAATACCTATTTCAATAGTGTTGCTGTGTCTGTCTAGACCATCAGTCGTCTCCTGTTGTTGTATGTCACCAGAACAAATGTGTCATTCATTAGAAACAAGAACACTTTCATCTCACACTGTGCTCATCTACTACACACAAAGGCCTACACAATACAAAAGCCTTGGCATTTCCAGACAGTACTGTACAAATGGATAAGCTTCAATAAGCTATGCTACCTTTCTCTATGCTGCCTCGCTCTTCAACAAGCTAGTGCTTTCATCACAGGTTGTGTCCCAAATGGCACACTATTTCCTATATAGTGCACAACTTTTGACCAGGGCTTTGGTCAAAATAAGTACACTATGTAGGGAATCGGGTGCCATTTGGTCCGTCACCTCTCTCTGTCACCAGCAGCAGAACTTTTCAAAACGTCTCAGGAGACGGTTTCGAGTATGGCAGTATTGTTTTCTGTCAGTGTGACCAACGCTGGAGTGCACTTTGGCAACTGTAAAGAGGCACAGACTCTTCAGACAGAACAAAGTAACGTTGCCACTTCGATTAGTTTTTACACCCCAGTATTGACGCACACACACACAGGGCATATGCTCCCCGCCGCCCGTCAAGTCCTATTATTAGAAGATAAAATCGGAGAGACATTTATTGTTGCAATGTGCTATGGCATGAGGAGTCCAGAACTCCATTACAGGCCCACTACAGCACCGGTTTATGAGGTGCTATTATGGAATTATTTCTGTATAGCGTATAAAACTTTTATTCAAATGTATAAAAATACTACTGCCATTGGCCGGGGCCGATGAACACGCCTGCAGATTAAAACGTCTTCATCCCTGATTAATTGCAGCCACCCAAGGACCTCCTAAAAGACAAGCGATGGTGATGTTCTGTTAAACGAGGCCCTCGCTACACTGCTGCAATATCCAGGTGGTTTCCGGTGAGGACAGAACGAACAAGTGCACATGTGGCTATCATGACTCAGTCCCCACTGGGAGGATGGGAGGAACGCTCGCCAAGAACAAACAAACAATCTCACGAAAACAGACAATCCAGACTCTGAGTGTTGAGCAAACGGATTTGGAACCCGGCGGACTTGGAATCCCCTTCTCTCCATGTCATTTATTAGCAGCTAGTGGAGCGTGAAGAGTTATGCATACAACCCAACCTGATGGTCCACTGAAGTCTACCTCCTCACTAACAACTAGCAAGGAGCAGTAACAACTAACACATAAACAAGCCCAAACAACAGGCCAGTTCCAGCATGCAGGTCCAGAGGCGCACAGAGACGAGAGTAACAGATTATGAGTATCACGGAAGTTGTGTCCCCAATGGCCCCCATTCCCTATATAGTGCACTACTACCCATAGGCTCTGGTCAAAAATAGTGCACTATGTAGGGAATAGGGTGCCATTGGTGATATAATGGAGTCAACCACAGTAATTTTCAACATGTCTAAAGGTGGATCACCATAACACCAACTTAACAGTGCATCATAAGAGAAAAAGAGAATGAAGATACAAACTTCCACTGGTGCACAAACATAATTGTACGTATTGCTATATAATAATAACTACTATCTGACATTTTTTCTATCTATGCTTTAAGTTTAAGCATGCACTACAATATAAATGATATACAGTGGGGGAAAAAAGTATTTAGTCAGCCACCAATTGTGCAAGTTCTCCCACTTAAAAAGATGAGAGAGGCCTGTAATTTTCATCATAGGTACACGTCAGCTATGACAGACAAAATGAGGAAAAAAAATCCAGAAAATCACATTGTAGGATTTTTAATGAATTTATTTGCAAATTATGGTGGAAAATAAGTATTTGGTCAATGACAAAAGTTTCTCAATACTTTGTTATATACCCTTTCTTGGCAATGACACAGGTCAAACGTTTTCTGTAAGTCTTCACAAGGTTTTCACACACTGTTGCTGGTATTTTGGCCCATTCCTCCATGCAGATCTCCTCTAGAGCAGTGATGTTTTGGGGCTGTCGCTGGGCAACACGGACTTTCAACTCCCTCCAAAGATTTTCTATCGGGTTGAGATCTGGAGACTGGCTAGGCCACTCCAGGACCTTGAAATGCTTCTTACGAAGCCACTCCTTCGTTGCCCGGGCGGTGTGTTTGGGATCATTGTCATGCTGAAAGACCCAGCGACGTTTCATCTTCAATGCCCTTGCTGATGGAAGGAGGTTTTCACTCAAAATCTCATGATACATGGCCCCATTCATTCTTTCCTTTACACGGATCAGTCGTCCTGGTCCCTTTGCAGAAAAACAGCCCCAAAGCATGATGTTTCCACCCCCATGCTTCACAGTAGGTATGGTGTTCTTTGGATGCAACTCAGCATTATTTGTCCTCCAAACACGACGAGTTGAGTTTTTACCAAAAAGTTATATTTTGGTTTCATCTGACCATATGACATTCTCCCAATCCTCTTCTGGATCATCCAAATGCACTCTAGCAAACTTCAGACGGGCCTGGACATGTACTGGCTTAAGCAGGGGGACACGTCTGGCACTGCATGATTTGAGTCCCTGGCGGCATAGTGTGTTACTGATGGTAGGCTTTGTTACTTTGGTCCCAGCTCTCTGCAGGTCATTCACTAGGTCCCCCCGTGTGATTCTGGGATTTTTGCTCATCGTTCTTGTGATCATTTTGACCCCACGGGGTGAGATCTTGCGTGGAGCCCCAGATCGAGGGAGATTATCAGTGGTCTTGTATGTCTTCCATTTCCTAATAATTGCTCCCACAGTTGATTTCTTCAAACCAAGCTGCTTACCTATTGCAGATTCAGTCTTCCCAGCCTGGTGCAGGTCTACAATTTTGTTTCTGGTGTCCTTTGAAGCTCTTTGGTCTTGGCCATAGTGGAGTTTGGAGTGTGACTGTTTGAGGTTGTGGACAGGTGTCTTTTATACTGATAACAAGTTCAAACAGGTGCCATTAATACAGGTAATGAGTGGAGGACAGAGGAGCCTCTTAAAGAAGAAGTTACAGGTCTGTGAGAGCCAGAAATCTTGCTTGTTTGTAGGTGACCAAATACTTATTTTCCACCATAATTTGCAAATAAATTCATTAAAAATCCTACAATGTGATTTTCTGGATTTTTTCTCTCTCAATTTGTCTGTCATAGTTGACGTGTACCTATGATGAAAATTACAGGCCTCTCTCATCTTTTTAAGTGGGAGAACTTGCACAATTGGTGGCTGACTAAATACTTTTTTTCCCCACTGTATGATACACAAAGACAGACTGTCTTTCATAACACAAAACCCCAGCTGGGTCAAGCTACCTACAGGGAGTCAAACAGTTCAAGTTTCAGTTTCAAGTTTTATTAGTCGTATGTACGGGAATGAAATACTTACTTGCAGGTTCCTTCTCGACAATGCAACAACAATAAGAAATAATAAAAGATAAGAATACCAACATAAAATTAATGGCTCAGTAGAATAGAACAAACATTTTAGTAGAATATAATAAAAATGTTAGTTAGGTTCTATCTAACTTAAGAGTCTGGAGAGTGTGTGATCTTAGGAAAAGCTCACTCTCTCTCTCTTTCCCTCTCTCTCTTTCCCTCACCTCTCTCCCTCTCTCTCTGTCTCTCTCTGTCTCTCTCTGTCTCTCTCTCTCACTCTGTCTCTCTCTCTTTCCTTCTCTCTCTTTCCCTCACCTCTCTCTCTGTCTCTGTCTCTCTCTCTCTCTCTCTCTCTCTCTCTCTCTGTCTCTCTCTCTCTCTCTCTCTCTCTCTGTCTCTCTCTCTGTCTCTCTCTCTTTCTCTCGGTCTCTCTCTCTGTCTCTCTCTTTCTCTGACTGTAGTAGGCCTGGTCAGCTGGACTGGAGCTGGTTTAGACCACCAGATGGCCTGGCCAGTGAAAGGGCCTCTTGTAGCAGGGCTCTCTGGAGCCTGGCTCTGTCTCTCTCCCTCTCTGGCCGAGTCGACCACACCGACTCAGGGAGCCTCCTGTGTAGATCCCCCCACCACCCAGGCAGCCGGTTCAGTCGCCTTCAGGCATGCAACACGGCCTAGAATACACTGGACTGGCGGACTCTGTGGACTCTTACCCAGTCGTAACCGAATTACCGAGATTAAACATAAAAATGTTAACGTTGAGTGACGTGCAGAGACAAAGGCCTCCTTGTTTCCGAGGGGTAATTCCTCACATGATGTCACATTTGCCTACCCATATGTTTTCCCAGACACTATTTCATTTCAAAGAGCATTGAGAAGTACGTCTTGGAAGGTTCCAGCCCAAGCCGTGGTGGTTTACTCGCCAGAGAGAAAAAATATATACAGTTTGTGTATTCAAAACCAACATTTAATTCTGAAAGAGGTATAGGGCCTGTGAACTAAATCCAGTTGTAAAATCCTCAATGATTGAGAACATTGAACTATTTCAGGATAACATGTCGAAGTCTGTTACACAATGGCAATCTCCCCATATCTACAGCATTATAATGATAACATTCCCATTCGGGAACTGCATCTTTCCCTTTCAAGACGATTTGATACATATCTAGAGACATGGGCTCCGATACGATACAGGAACGATACTTTTAGTTTGATATGATTCGGTGCGATTCGGTATGATTAGAGAACGAATCGATGCGATTTGGTTCGATGCGATTCAATAAAAATCTGATGCTGATGGAGCTCATGAGCCATGTGTGTGTTTGTGTGTTTGTGAATGATGTACGTCTATGGTGTATATCAGGGATCATCAACTAGATTCTGCTGCGGGACGATTTTTTTGTGAGCGGATGGTCAGGGGGCCGGAACATAATTACAAATAATTTGTAGACTGCAAATTGACCGCAAGAAGCCCAAACAGATATAACATTTGACTAAAACATAATCATTTAAAGCCTTGTTTACATTTGTATACGATCACATATATCTCTCTATTATGCGAGGGAATACTTTGAAACGGATTTCCAAAATGTTAATCACTTGAAGCTGATTTTCTGGTGTGTTTAGTCTTTTATATCCAACAATTAAAACATGATGATAATAATAATAATTGGGGGGCCAAATAAAATCAAAGTTGGGAACCCTGGTGCATGTACTGTGTGTGTGTGTAAATGATGTATGTCTATGGTGTAGATACTATGCACCTGATCAGAGCCATAAGGGAGACTAGGCATCTACTATCCCACCACTATTGGATACGGAAGAGCAATGTAGCCTGTGTTTTCTGTCCCCCCATTTTGGTTCTGAAATCACCGTCACCCACTAACCATTTTTTGCAAATTAAGCTTTTACTGCAGTGGGCTAAATTAGCGTCACACAGAGTGTTTCTTGGTAGTCTTAAACAAATCTACTTTGAATCAAAAGTATACACCTTCACACACATGGTTATGGGCTTAAAAAAATAAGACACCTGTACCATGTCAGATATACACTGAGTGTACAAAACTCTAGGATCACCTTTCTAATTTTGAGTTTCACCCCCCATTTTGCCCTCAGATCAGCCTCAATTCGTTGTGGCATGGACTCTACAAGGTGTCGAAAGCGTTCCACAGGGATGCTGGCCCATGTTGACTCCAATGCTTCCCACAGTTGCGTCAAGTTGGCTGGATGTCCTTTGGGTGGTGGACTATTCTTGATACACATGGGAAACTGTTGAGCGTGAAAAACCTAGCAACATTGCAGTTCTTGACACACTCAAACCAGTGCACCTGACACCTACTACCATACCCCTTTCAAATGCACTTAAATCGTTTGTCTTGCCCTTTCACCCTCTAAATGGCACACATAAACAATCCATGTCTCAAGGATTAAAAATCCTTCTTTAACCTGTCTCCTCCCCTTTATCTACACTGATTGAAGTGGATTTAACAAGTGACATCAATAAGGGATTATAGCTTTCACCTAGATTCACCAGGTCAGTCTATGTCATGGAAAGAGTAGGTGCTCCTAATGTTGAAATGTATACATTTATTTGTTTTTATCCCAATATTACACTTTATATACATCACAGAAGACTGAAATTTAACAAAACCGTTTGACATAGAAACACTGGATTTTTTAATATATATTTTTTATCATGTTTATTCATTATGAAATTATGAAAAATATTAATAACATTCCCCCCATGAGGCCACTAGAGG